AGGGTTACTTGCGAACTCAAGTATTTCCTATCAATTTTATTCTTAATAAATTCTATCGAAAAATAAATTTTTAATAATATATTTAGGACAAGCATCTCAGGCATGTGTCCATTTTTCTAAGATTATTTTAATTGGACAAATCTTTATCATGACAGACATATGACAACACGTGTCTATGGCCGACATGTGTCGGTGCATCACTAAACGGTAGCATGGGAAATGGTGTAACTATGTAGCAAGATTCCATATATAAACCTTGAGAAAGCACTCATGCTAGTTTACCATCTGGGAAATGGTTTCATTTCATTCTTTTTATGAGTAGGGCTGAAATCATTACACTTGGGAGAGCGTTAGAGTGCTTGTGGAGCCATTTGTGTGTGAAATTGAAATCATTACACTTGAGAGAGTTTTAAGAGGCTTTGTGGAGCTTTTTTTGAGTGTAAATGGAAAACCTTACATTTGAGAGAGCATTTGTGGATAAAACCAATGTTGATTTCTATCTACACAAACTAAAATAATGAAAGTAACAAATTTCATCATTTTGAAAAGCATGTTTTCTAACTTCAACCAACCATATGGGGTTTTGGGGCTCATTTGGTTACTTTTAGATAGAAACCGAGTTTTAGAAAATGATAATTTTGTTCACTTATTTTGTGTGTGAAAATAAAATCAATATATAGGAGGAATTTGTAAAATTTTAAAATAAAAAATTTTTTTTTGGAAACAATGCAGAAATTTGAATGTCAATTTTCAAATTTTATTTCCTGCAGAAATTGAATGAGAGAATGACCGAGAATATGCAAAATATGTGAAGAAATAAACCAAAGCAATCATCAGATCATATTGTGCATAAGTAAATTATTAGAGCTAAGATAATAGCATCAATTTTACCCAAAAGATCAACAAAATTTCATGACTCTGCAGCATATCATCCCTGTAATAAGATCACATAAATTGAGATCATTCCTCTTCAGATCCATCAAAACAAAGCGTGATAATAGATTTAATAATTTAAATTTTGCAAACCTTTACCGCTTTACTCGACCAAATGACACTAAAATAAAATATAAAAAAAAACCAGAGGAATTGAGCCAAAGCTCTGTATAAACATTCATTGAATCCATAACCTCTGTTGTTAGAGAGCCAAAGCTCCCAACCACTTATACTTCAAGTTTGATTATCTAACTTTTTTCTCTCAGCAAAGCCAGCTGAACATAGTAGCATCTGATAAATACATTCAAATTTATCATCCTCATTTATCTTACTTAGATATAGCGCATGACTTATTTTAAAAAAGTATTTTATTAATATGATTATTTACCTGTCCAGTCCAACCCAAATCAAACGACGCCAGTGAGTTCAGTTTGAAGTAAGAGAAGAGAGAGGTGGGGTAGGAGATAGAGCGGCGCACCTGGACGGCTGAGGCGAGTAAGGAAGAAGCGCTCGCCGGACTCAAGGCCGTAAGCTGCAACCGCCGACGAGGATAATCCCATGACTTCAGCGTACACGACAAGGAGCCGGTCTCGCTTCGCATCGATTAAGATGCCCAACGATACGTTTCCCGCGACATCAGCGTCGGCGATGAATGTGCGCTCTTGGAGGTCGGAGCCATCGGAGCCATCGGAGCCATCGAAGATGGCGGGGAGGCGGATCTCAGCGACTCCTCCGTCGAAGTAGGTGGATATGAGAAATCTGCGACGTGCATGGTCCCACTTGGCGCACTCCCTTAGCCAGCCGCCGCTCCTGTACCTGAGGGAGCCATTTGTAGCGGTAGCTGCCCGCTCCAGGGACGCGATTAGGGCGATTGGTATAGCAGTGGCGAGGAGTA